TACAAGGTTCATAAAAAGCGCACGTTTAGGGTTTAGGGTTTAGGGCACGTTTAGGGTTTAGGGTTTAGGGCACTTTTAGCGTTTAGGGTTTAGGGTTTAGGGTCTAGTGCTAGACTACTACACAGGCCATAAAACCTGAGCCACAAAATTCTGGAAACTCTCAAACCCAAAGCCCAGCGGAAGGGCGGCCCAAGACCAAAGCCTCGAAACCCCGCCCGAAACACTCAAGCCCGAAGACAAAAAATCGCGAAAACCCCTGAGCCGCAAAAACCTTGAAACCCTGAAGTCACCCCCTGAACCCAGACCCTAAACCCTAANNAACCCTAAACATAAAGCTTCCGGAACGCCAGCTCAGAGAGCAGCGCCAGGGCCGCCTCCCATTCGCCGGCCTTCGCATGACCGGCGTCTTCGATTCCGAAGAGAATCAGAGCAATAAGAATATTAGCAATAAAGGGTATAGGGGTTTAGGGTTTAGGGACAATAGTATTAATAAGAATAATAGTAAAAATACTAGTACTTACTAGGAATGCTAGTGAGAGTCGTAACAGATTATGATAATAATAACAATAATTGATAATGGAGGCAATAATACTGGTAGCAACAGTAATAGTCATGCTTCTAGTTTGGGCTTTGGCCGTTTAAGGGTCTACATGGCTTTGAAAAGTCTGGCGTTTTCAGACATTGCTTCAGGGTCATGACAGTAAGTTTGCTGGTCATGCATGGTGCTCCTAACCCTAAACCCTAAACCCGAAACCTTAAACCCTGCTTGGGGGTTCATGAGTAGTCACAATTGGAGTTATAAATGGGGTAGCTATACTTAAACCCACATAAGGGGACTTCTAACCCCACTTATAGCCACCCCTAAACCCTAAACCCTATACCCTATAGAACCCTTTAAAGGAACCGTATAACCCCACTTACAGCTACATGAACCTCCAAGCCTTCCCTAATCTCCGTATAGGGCTCAGGTCTGGGGCGCTTCAACGTCTTCCACAAAAAGACAGACGACTTGAAAAAAAGGGGTTTAAGGGTTTTGGGTTTAGGGTTTAAGGGGGTTTAAGGTTTAGGGTTTAAGGGTTTAGGGTTTAGGGTCTTGAAGCAATATGGGGGCCGTCAAAAATAGCAAGGGTTTAGGGTTTAGGGTCTTGAAGTAATATGGAGGCCGTCATAATTAGCACAGGGGTTGCTTTTAAAGGGGCTCTATAACAGTTCTGTAAGGGGGCTTTAATAATTAGAATAGGGTTTTGGGGTGTATTGTATTTACTAGATTATGACTATAATCAGGAACCCCCAAAATAGTATTGGCTGTTTGGGCCCCTAAATTAGTTTCTTGAGTTGGGATCTGGGAAGTTCTCTAGATTCGGGTCCCTTTTTCAGTCCCCCAAAATAGTACGGCAGCCGACCAAGAAAAGGACCCCACAAAGGATCTCAATTTAGAGAACGACCCACGTGGGTAGAGAGTGACTGTCAAGAGCGTATGGTCCAGACTATGCCCCTCGCCTCTCGAAAGTAAGTAACCACCTCCAGCATGAAAAGAAAACCCTAAACCCTAAACCCAAAACCCTAAACCCTAAACCGTAGAACCCTAAACCCTAAACCAGGAATGAGTCCCACCTTCTCACAGGCGCTCAGCGCCGCATTCAAGGAGACCGCGTCCTGGCACCCACCATACTATGGGGGGCCTTTATAATGGTTCCTTTTAAAGGGTTTAGGGTTTGGGCTTAGGTCTAGGGTTTAGGGTTTAGGGTTTACTATAAGGGTTATTGGAGCGTGCATCGATATTAGGGCTCTCTGGGTTGCGAGCTGCAGGTCCCGGGAGGAGTCTCAGCAACCCTTCTCTGGAAACGTGCGAAGCACGCGAAGAACCTCAAAGTGGGTCAAGGGAGCATGACAGGAGAGTTTAGGGTTTAGGGATTTAGGGCTTGGGGTTTAGGGATTTAGGGTTTAGGGATTTAGGTTTAGGATTTAGGGGTTTAGGGTGGTATGACAAGCTCACAAAGAACTAGATCTCTGAAACCAGCAAAGATATATAATATGTTGTTCTGTGGCTCGACCGCTCTACGAATACTCTAATGCAACTACTAGTACGAATACATAGGTCTCTTACATAAGGAGTTTGCCCCCAAAAAAAAAACCCTCAACCCTAAACCCTAAACCCGGTCCGCAGCCAGGCGCGCTCGATGGATCTCCTGGAGGAGGGACAGAGACCTCTGCCACTGCTCCTGAGTAGGTAGTATTATTAGGGGTACCCCTTAAAGGGACCTTATTGAGAGGGTCTATATCCCCAAGGGTCCCCCTAATCCTAGCTCCCACTGAGGCGGCAGGAAAGGTACAGGAGAGGATTTCCTAAACCCGAAGCCCTAAATCCTACGCTCCAAACCCTAAACCCTAAACCCTAAACCCTAAAACCCTAAACCCTAAACCTCCTAAACCCTAAACCATAAACCCCTAAACCC